ACACACACACACACACACACACACACACACACACACACACACACACAACAAAAGCATATAAAAGACCAAACAGGAGCACGGCGTTAGGCTATTACCCACAAATACTGGCAATCAGGAAAGGCCAATCTCTCTTTCTTACCCCCAAGCCTCTCCGCCATCCTTTCAGCATCACTAGCTCCACAACGTGATAAATGGCCTGGCCCTTCCTTCACACACACATACACAAACAACCTTCTCACTCCCACTAACCTCGCTCCTACGTCTCCTCTTACACAAAACAATCCAAACACAGACGTGAGCTACAGCTCGACGGGGTTGCATACGTAGCACCAGACGAGAGATAAGCACAAAAGCCACACGCAGGCGAAGATTCTTCATTTTAACAGCGGCCGTTTTATGAATCTGGAGCGAGCGGAGGATGTGATAGCACTTGGAAGGCTATCATATGAATATAAGATAGCGATCGCTGGCTCTCTTTCAGGTAACGCCACGGCGGCGATAATTCACGACACGCTTTATGGGTAGACAGAGGGCACTTTCATAAGGGCGCTGCCCGCTGTCAGCAGCTCGCCAAAGGGGAGTGCATACGCTTCAATAAACGTCTTCATATATTCTCACTTTTTATGACGGGAATCAGGCAGAAACACATTTACTCGTTGGAACACAGATGAGACGGCAGCGTTAGGTATTTACGCTGTACACTGCGGTACAAGGGGCCCGGACACAGGATTGTATTAAGGGATGCTCGGCCCAGACGTAATAATCTCTTATTCTCTCTTGTGCTGTTCTGCATTTTCACCAGCAACATGTTTCTTCCAACTGCCCTTCCCTCAACCCATATATTATTATTTTTAATCACGGTTCACATTTTTATCATCAGCTCATCCTCTGTCGTCGAACCTCGTAACCTCGAAAGACGGAAGCGGTTTGGGAGAACATCGTGTCGTCGAAAGTTGGAGAGTTCAGTCTTCCCAGACGGCCCGCCTCCTCCACGTGGATCACTCGGCTTACAAACCTGCAGCTTATTGTTTTGTAAAAACACGTCTCACCTCTGGCACTTGAGGGGGCCGAGCTGGTGACGTTGGGCGAGGCAGAATGGTTGGAGCTGAGGCTCGAGGTAGAAGGACTTGGCTGTGGGTGGGAAGGAAAACAGGATCTGTATCAACGTCATCGACCAGAACAGAAACATAAAGTTTATAAAGTGCACGTAAATCAGCTTCTAGTGCTTCCCAGTTAGCTCACTTTGATAAAACACCTTATTATATGTCAGACAACTTCAAAATGAAAATATAAATCTGTAATTCACAGCAGTTTATAATATTTCTCAATTTTAATTTGATTTTTTAAATACGCTGTACATATTCTGGAGAATAAACCCCTCAATATTCAAAATTAGTTGTGCAATTGGCTCGATCCCTGATAACAGCCTTGTGCTGTTGCTCCGGTCCGGCCAGGTGCATCAGACAGCTTGCCAGAAGTTGTCGGCAGCTCTCTGAATTGGCCAAATCTAGTTTAGATTAGACTCGGGCTGGCTCCCCAGACAACCTGCACAAAGCACTGGGTCCTGAGTTGATATAATCATGACGATTTGTTTGGCCCCCCCGAACAAAAGAGTCAGGATGACAGAGCGAGCTGGGGTCAGGGGAGTGGAAAAACGAGGGCGGAACAGAGTGAGGCGGGATTGTAAAAAGAACTGCAAGGTGAGCGTGAGGGGAGCAGGAGGGCAAATGTTGGGATGTGGACTCAATTCACTCCTTTAAGAGGCTCCACCAGGGTGGGTGGCAGCGCATACGAGGCTGCACGTACCCTTGTGTGTTCTAGAGGGGGGGGGGGGGGGTTACCTGCATGTTGAAGACTTCATCTGAGCTCTCCGACTGGCCGGTGATGTTGCTGACTTCATTGGAGGCTTGGGATGAAAGTGAGGACGAGGAGTAACGGTTCACTGCAGGGTAGCTGCTGAGGCTAAGGGTGTCAGAAAGACAGGGAGACGTTGATGAGGTGGCTTTCATAAAGCACACTCAAGTCTGTTAGCAAAATATCTCATGAACCAGTGGATATACTTTAATTAAACTCTAAGAACACTGGTGACATATCTAACTGATGAATGTTTGGGACTATTCTGATTTAACATGTTTACCAATGCTAAGCAGTCACACTATTGTGATTCATTTTTCTTAAGTGTATTATTCGGAGCATTTCCTCATCCAGATGTTTTCAAGTTAGTTCAACAAATCGTAAATCAAAACATTCAGCTCTTTCAGGACAATCCCGCTATGACTTTTGGTATTGGTGCAGCTTTAGCTTTTTGAAATATTTTGCCTTTTCTTCTCGTAGGAAATGAATTGAGCTTATTTTACATCCTTCAAATCTTTAGATGTGTTTACAACATTTTACTGCTCCTTTCACATTTTGTTCTGCTTCAGCTTCTTTCAGCTAGCTTGTGCAAACTTAAAACTTTTTTTCAGCTAATTTCAGCTGTTTGTTTCAGCTGTTTTGTGTGTCGTTTTGATTTTTTTCAGCTAACTACAACATTTTTGTGCTTCTAACTTCTTGCTGCTAATTTCAGCTTTTTATGCTCCGTTCAGCTTATTTCTGTAAGTTTCAGCTTTTTCTACAATTTCAGCTAATACAAAGCTGTTTTTATGCTAATTTAAGCTTTTTCAGTTAATGCCACATTTTTTTGTGCTCATTTAAACTTTTTGCAGAGTAATTCAGCAAAAATGTGCTCTCTCCACTAACTTCTTTTATTGACAGCTTATTCTTTTTTTTAAACTACTTTTTGGCTGTTTTTTTATTCATTTATTTATTTTTGCTAATGTCATTTTTTCCCCCAGATAATTTCTACTTTTTGTGCTAATTTCTGCTTCTTTCAGTCTAACTGGGCAACGCTCTTTCTCATTTCATATGCTAATTTAAGCTTATTCTACCTTTTCAGCTTCCTTTTTAGAAAATGTTTAGCTAATTTCAGCTGTTTTCAGATAAATTGAAAGTTTTTCTTGGCAATTCCCGCTACTTTCAGCCTAATTAACTTATTTCTGCTAATTTCAGCTTGTTATGCTCCTTTCAGCTTTTTCAGCTAGTTTGAGCTTTTTCTTCTATTTCAGCTTCTATTTAGCTGTTTTATGCAATTTTTTAGCTTTTTCAGCTAATTCCACTTTTTTTTTTCTCATATCAGCTCTTTCCACTTCTTTCTCATAGTTACGGTAAGCTTCTTTCTGCCTGTTTGGCTGCTTTTTTGATATTTTTAAAACTAATTTTAGCCCCCCACCCTTCCTCATTTTGTGTTCATTTCTACTTATTTAAACTTAATTCTGCAAACTCTTTCTGCTCTTTTCTCCTAATTTAGGCTTGTTCTTTCATTTCAGTTAAAATTCAGAATGTTTTTAAGCTAATTTCAGATGTTTTTAAGCAAGTTCTTCTGCAGTAAGCATTTACATTGCATTTTTGCAGGAAATGCAATTTCTCTAGTTAGCCTATGCAAACACAAAATGGCTATAACTTGGTCATTTTTACAGACACTGAGCTGAAAGTTGGCGTGGTAGTTGCTATCAACGTGCACTTTGAGTGGTAACGTATCTTTATTTTTGGCATGCAAAGCGATTTGCGTTCGTTCAAGGAATGTTACTTTTGTTTTGTTACGTTCCACTACGTTTGGGAGACTTACCAAAAATCGAGCGAGAGCACCATCGAGGCCAGGAGGGAAACAAAAGGCAAACAGAAAAAGAGACTGTCAGATTAAATGCAAATCACCCTTAAAGGTTCAGGAGGAAAAAAAAAAAAAAACGTTTTAAAAGTTTGGTTTTCAAAAACAGTGCACAAAAGTCAGGCCAAAATATGCTGAAATGTCACGGGGAGATTGAAGTGATGTACGCGTCCCCTAGTTTCTGTGCCCTGTGGGATCAGACCGGGGAAGCAGAATGTCGCAGGTAGACGGCGTGGAAGGGTCACTGAACACATCAAACACACACAGACAGCCACACACAATCTGCCTGCCGGCCTGACAGCAGTCACACAGAAACATCCCCGCGGGTACCATCTATCCACTCTCCCCTCCCCATGTTTTATATGCCAACACAGGACCACACCAGTAAGGGATTGAAGGAGGAAGAGGGAAAGGGCACCGAGTGTGGCATTCAAAGTGAGGTGGCAACTCGGAGAATAAAAGAAAAGGTAGACGTGGACAAATGTTCTGACGTAAAGACCCACAGAAATAAGGTAAAATAGGATCATTTAAAGTGGAAATGCTCTTTGATGATTTGTGATGCTTTAAAAGAACAAGACAGAAGAATCTGACGTTTTCTTAGAGCTCCAGAAACATTTTTTCTTCTTCTTCTTCTTCTTTCGGCTGCGCTGGATGTCCTTCCTGTCACAACCACAGACCACTGAGCTACCACAGCCCTCTGTGTGGAGCAGAGCTGCCAGCTAGGGTGCCCAGGGGAGCAGATGGTGGGGGTTAAGGGTCTTGCTCAAGGGCCCAGAGTGGGACAAATGAGGGTGGAGGCAGGTGTGGGTACTTCACCTTTCCAAACCAAAGTTTGATATTGTCAGTATGGGGAGTTGAACCGGCGGCCTTCCAATCACAGGCTTCGTCTCTAACCTCTGCACTCCCCCATAACGCCAGAAACAAATAATGCATAAAAATGTATGAAAAGGAACAAAGTATGTGGGGACTAAAAAAAGGTCATCACCTTCGTCTGGACACCCCTCTGCCGCCGTCCGGACTAATGATGCTGGGTGCCGAGTTCCTGCAGGTTCGCGGGCTCCCGTTGGTGAAGTGCACCGGGCTCGCCCGCACGTAAGCTGGAAACTCCTGGGGTTTTGAAATGAGAAAAGAGTTAAAGTGATTAAATGCTTTTTTTTTGTGCCAGCGTGGGGTATGTAAACAAACTACTTGAGGGGAGGTTGTTTAATGAGGGGTGGATTTCTCCTTTCGAGGACTGTAGGGGTCATTTACTCTGGGGTCTAAAAGAGCAGAAACTTGCTTTTGTCTACTCGAGTTTCTGCTTCTGTAAGGACTTTAGTTAATAATTTCAGAAACATGTGGAACATTTTATTTTGAATACATTTTGTAAAAAGAATTGTAGCAATACATAGTACAACCTAAAATATATCCCATAGATACCAAGTGCATACCTGGTACTTGGGGGGACCTAGTTGTATGATAAAATGACTTGTTACCTAGTACTAAGAGAGTATATACCTGGTAACCTGGTAGATACCAGGTATTTACCAGTAAGTACCAGGTGCCTACCTGGTAAATATACAAGTACCAGGTATGTATCCAATAGGTACCAGAAATGTACCTGTAGGAATTGGGTATGTACCTGGTACCTACGGGGACTTGCTGTATTATGAGTTGATTTGTTACCCAGTACTTACATAGTATGTGCCTGGTAACCTGATACATACCAGGTATTTACCAGTAAGTACCAGGTGCCTACCTGGTAAATATGCAACAAGTACCAGATATGTATCCCAATGGTACCAGGACCTTGTAGGAATTGGGTATGTACCTAGTACCTATGGGAACCTGACTGTATGATAAAATGACTTGTTACCTAGTACTTAGAGGGTATGTACCCTGGTAACCAGGTACACACCAGGTATTTACCAGCAAATACCAGATGCCTACCTGGTAAATATGCAAGAAGTACCAGGTATGCATTCCATTGGGACCAAGAATAAATATTGTAGGAATTGGGTATGTACCTGTTACCTATGGGGACTTGGCTGTATTATGAGGTGACTTGTTACCCAATACTTAAGAGTTGTAATTCATGTACATATTTGCCGTGTTTGGAATGGTCTTCAAAAGTTTAACTACAGCAAACAGGAACTAAGACTTACCTGTATGCCCAAACTGGATTTCATAAGATGAAACTGGTCCACCAACTTCTTGTGAAGAGGTCTCATGTCTTGGGGAACGTATTTCTCATGCACAGCGAGGCCATACTCCAGTATATGTGCCTACAATAGACATAAAAGTCTAAGCCCTTGTTTCAATATTTGCTCCAACTGTCCTTGGCTGCAATGGGTTTTCTTTATTTTCCCAACCTGCTCAAACATGAGTTCTCTCAGTCGTCCGATCTTTTCGCCGTCCTCCGGATGATTCAGGGTGTAGTCCTTCACGAAAAAGGCCTGCATGGGAACAAAAACGCAGAATGTCCACTAAAGCAGACACAACAAGAGGTGAGGCAGTAACGCCTCGTGGCTCTGACATGTTCACATGAATCCCATCAGGCAGCGAATTAGTGTTTGCACATTTTGTTTCAAGAGTCCTTCAAAATATCTACGTGTAAACTAACCCTCAAACACAGAATCCTGCTTCTGTGTAGGATTATTGGGTTTCCTTTCACGGTTGCATTAATATCAAGTTTGAGGTGAGAAAAGGTGTATATGAGCAAACAGAGAAAAACCTCATGTAAAATTGAGTTATAGGAAAATCAAAGACGTGAATTTTTTTATTTGATTTAAAAGCCAATTTAGTATCAGATTTTCAAAGCTCTTTTTATGTCACTTTTATTCTTGTCTCGCTTGAAAAATAAATTGATTACAGCTCGCATTCTGCTTTTTCTATTCACACTCAAACTATTTCTTCAAACAAGGAGTCTTGCTAAAGAAGCAGATAAAATAAAACACCATAGACACCCCTGAATGATAATAATGCTTATTTATTGCATCCTTACATTAACAGCCAGCTCCCTGCTGTTTACAACGGCATCAACACTGTTCATATGTCTGCAGATTATAGCAAATCCAGTTGAGTCTGTGTTTGAGCACACCAAAGAGAGGAGGGGGGATGAAATGATGAAAAGCCTAGCTCGCAATCTGCTCTCAGATCTGCCCCAGAAGGAAATGTGGAAAGAGGAAAAAGAGGCACCGAGAGGTAAAAGGGGGTGTTCACGAAAAGCGCAGCTCCTCTCAAGGACACAGCTGTCTGTTTCTAAAGAGACAGACTGAGAGAAAAGACGCTCAAGGCTGCTTCAAACATGTGCACACGCACACACACACACACACGAGAGATTCCTATCAAATGTGACAAAGGCTTACAGAATATAAATACTCATTATTCAAAACCTCATCAGATGAGTTTTTATCAAGGTAGAAGAGTAGTACGCACTGCACACGATAGCATGGTTCTCAGATGTTAGTAGTGTGATGTGATGCTGTATATATAATGCGAAACGTACTATAAAATAAATTATACAAAATTACATATATATATTATAATTAGGCCTGTCGCGATAAACAATAAATCAATGAATCGCATGATGAATGAAAATTATCGACCTCATTTTCATTCACTGTCTTTATCGTTTCTTCTCGTCTCTCTACTGAAGACACTGGATGACAAAAAGCTCAACTCCGGTACTCTTCACTGATCCCTCTCTCTCTCTTTAAAATCTCTTAGTCATCCAAAATCACGTTTTTGGATGGTTAAAAGCAGCTAAGCTGAGAAGCTAAGCTAATAGGCCGACCTCGGGATGAGCTCCAAAATTTACGGTTGAAACCCGTGCCTTCGTGTAAAAAGTTGTTTTTCTCTTCAAAAAGAAACTGAGAACTTGTTTACTGATTTTTATTTAATTAAAAGCTTTGTGTGAAAAATGCTATGCCAAAGAGATCGAGCGCATGTCACATCAAGGGCCCTCCCTCCCATTTTTCTTAAAGACACACGCTACTCAACTATCCATCCTTTGGTTCAAACAGTCTTATACTGCCATCAGGTGGTCAGAAAAAAGTACTACACTCCAAACAAATAAACATTTCTTCTAAAATTTGACAATTAATTGCTGTTAAATTTCAAACAATATTTTCATTTATTGTAATAATTTCTGAGACAATTAATCGCCCAGCAAAATTTGTTATCGTGACAGGCCTAATTATAATAGCATGCTGATTTATTTGCCGGGCACTTTATTATGATTTTTTTTAAATAGAATTTCTTCCATTTACTTTTCAATTTATATGCTTTTTTTATGATTGCCTTCAGTTGTCATCACTCTTTGTTAAAAACAGGTCTCAATTGTAAATGAGTCCTCGAGGCTCAATGAGACTAAACTGTATAACTAAAGGTTGAATTGAATATTTGATATGATTTATGATATGATACACTGTTTTATTTCATAAATCATGATAGGATATGATACAATGTACTGTATATATCATATATTCATATGATAAAAAATACATGATGCATCATTTATCAAACCACTTCATATCATATAGAATATTTCGTACTATTAAGTATTGTACCATTATGTATTTTATTATATCGCATTATATAGAATAATTTTTATTATGTTGTGTATTTTAGTTTGTCATGTTGTATTGTATCATACTTTATTATATTTGTTTGAACTATAATATATTGTATTGGATTTTATTGTATCGTGCCATATCTCAATGTACATATCAATGTATATATATCATGATATATTGTCATATGATAATGTTTCATATTGTATTGGGTCATACTGTATTATATTTTATTGCATAGTATAATGTATTTTATTGTACTATATATTATTGTGACATATATTGTATATTTCCTTGTGCATGTTCCTTTGTACTGAAACTTTGGCACAACAATTTCATATCTTATATTATTGCATTATGTTGGATCATAGTGTAATATACTTTATTACGTCGTATCACATTGTATCCTAACATCAGATCTTGTTTATAAGAGTGCTCAGGTAGTAATTTGAATAAGTTCTTTTCAGAAGACGATTCCTCTCAAGAATATAAAAGGCAGACAAATTTATCAATAATCTTGCACAAATGATGGAAATTTCTCGCCAGACTGTGGCGAGCGGGACCCTTCCGCTGAGTGACTCAGTTAATCATTAGCAAAGTCCAATTAGAGAGGGAACGCTGGTGGGAGGGGAAATAAATCAGACAGCATTCCCCCCGAAGGGTTTCAACTCAAACTAGAGCAATAAATCTGAATATTAATAACGACAATTTCTCCCTCATTTGTAGCCGAGTCTCCACAGCTGTCAATCGGCATTACGGTGGAGAGAAATGATTAGATTTAAAGGTGCGGCCTGCGGGGGAATACTTGATGTATGCTGCTCAGAAAAAGATGTGTTGACGCCAGCTGCAGGAAAAAAAGACCACTTGTGTCCAGCTCGTAGAAAGAAAATTAAATATGCAACTTTTTTTTTTATGTTTAATGAATGATTAATAACTAGATAAATTGCATTTCTTGCAAAAATGCAATGTGAATGGTTATTGCTGAAGAATTAGCAGAAAAACAGCTGAAATTAGCTAAAAACTTGCTGTACTGTAGCTGAAATGGAAGAACAAGCCTAAATTAGCAGAAGAAAGC